ACAAGTTGCAGAATTCACAGGTGACTACCACATGTACTAATGTAATCTCCAATACAAGCAAGTGCCTGTAGATTGAGATGGTAACACTGTCAACTGATAGTGGAAGATCAGTCCCCTGCAAACGAGTACAATTAATGACCACTTGAGATTAGTGAAAGATGGATATGAAGCAAGTACAACGGTTCTCCTACAAGTACATCCAGGAGATTATAGTGAACACCATCATTCCTTGTGAGTAAGGACGGATGATATGACACACTTAGGGATAACAACAGTGGGTATATCGTACGTACAACGAACTCTTGTGGACACAAATACATATATCACCTACAGCAGTGGGGATTGGGATGCAGCGAGTACGTTGGGTATGAAGACAATTCGATGTACAGAAAAGGGCACCTCATGGCAGAACAAAAGAGATGTTTAAGCAAAATCGAACTAAACTTCCTGGTATTCTAAACTTTTTTCCTTGTCTTTTTTCTGAGAGAAAACATCTCTGATATCTATGGTCCTTGGAAGTACAAATGATTTTCGAAGTTTGGCATTGCGACACAATATATCATGTACACTGATAGTGCTATGGTACCGCCTCTGCCAACGCTATTCAACTAAGGAATACAAGTACTTGCTGATTTCTTAGACAAAGTTCTCCCATAGGAAGGATACCTCCTGTAAGGATGAAGGAGATGTTTGGGAAAATTCAAACTAAATTTCTTAGTGTTACAAAATTTTTTCTTGGTACTATACTTGGGAAGAAAACAGTTATGACATCCACGAACACCGGAAATAATAAGTACACTCAGATAGGACAATTATGTGGTAACGAATGTTACATCTTGTAGAGGTTCACTGCACTTTAGATCTTGAAAGGAGTTCTTTTCAAGACAACAGTCACTGATTTCAAGAAAGACCTCCTGATGAATAAGAGAAGGGAGCTCACTTCATAACAAAGAAGTATCTCATGGTAGTCAGGTGACAATGCCACGATTCACTTGAAAGCAAAAGCGGAGGATTACTAATGAAATATTAAGGGCCGCTGAAGTGCTACAAGACACCACCAAATCCACAACATGCATATAAGCAGACAAAAGACGTGTATAAGCTTAAGTAAAACGTTGCATTCAAATGACGATTTTCTGCTTAACTTATATATGCTAAACATTCAAAAGTACCCCCCGGCACTTGCACCATAATTTGTATATACATGAATGCACAAAAGGGGCAAATGCAATCGCAAAACCCGCATAAGCCCCGGTAAGCATGTTATTGGTACACACGTGACGTCTAGGAATGCTGCGTGGATCAATAAATTTGAACACAATCCTCCTAAGAAAGTAGATAAGAGTTGACAAGGTTCAACAAATAATTATAAAATGCCCCTAAACACCCGCATGGGCTCCGACGAGCGTGTTGTGGGAACACACGTGACGTCTAGGGATGTTGCGCGGGTCAGAAAATAAACCCAAGTTCGAGCCTGATCCTTTTATGCAGGTAGATAGGAGTCGACATGGCTCAAACCATTAAATAAATATATGATCGCGAGGTCAACGGGGATATTTATTTTATACATTTATATTAAGCCTTTAAGGCCTTCAATAAAGAAAATTCATAAACAAATGCATAAAGCCTATGAAACTCGATCATCTGTCGATAGCTCGATAGAGTCGACAGGGTTCAATCTACAAATAGAAATGACCTCAAATACTCTGATGATAGCCATGTTGAATGCAGATCTCAACCGGAGGGATTAATTTTAAACATTTTAAAATGCCATCAAACTTTCACAAAATTCAAATATCTTCAAGTGACCTCAAAAATACCCCGATGATGGCCGTGTTGAATAGAAAATCTCAACCGGATGGGTTAATTTCAAATACACAAAATGACATCCAAATACCCACGAAATTCAAAGCTCCAAAAATCGCAAAATCATTCAAGCCTAGAATATTTAAGAAGTACAAAAAATCATTCAACACTTAAAGCAAAATTCATCCCCTCCATAATAGTTTACCTAGATGGACAAATTTAAAAAACTACTTCAGCTCACATAAAGCTAATATCTAATCGAAAATATCACTAGAATCCATTCTCAAACAATCTCCTGCCAGTAAGGATATGATACGTGTCCTCTGACCGGAGATTTTGCCTCCAAATGGCACCGCAGGATAAACGGTTATGATCTAGGGCCCTCTGAACCGAGTGGTTTTGCCGCCAAATGATACCACTAAATAACGGTTATGGCCAGAGCCAATACATTCCATAGTGGCATAAAATCCTTAAGATATGAATCAAAAGGATATGATTAATAGGGCAGAAAGCCCTCTGTTAGCTAATGTGGATTCAAATTTATCCCCTTAGACAAACATCCACGCCAGATCTACAAGGTTCCCTTGGACGAAGCAATCCATGGCTGCCGACAAAGATCCTTCTGTTACGTTGGGTCGACTACCTCCTCTGACTAAGTAGACCAGGGACCACGAAGGCCTGGGACGACGGAACCATGGGATCTTGATTGGGTCCATCATCCATTCCCCCACCATCCGCTTTAACTACAATGTGGTGAAATTTCTATTTTAAATATCAAATCTTTCAACCCTTCAAATTTTCAAATACCTATGCCAATGCTGCTACTATATGTCTGAAACTACGTATCTATGGATACAATGTATCTGATCGACGACTAGCCTTAATCAAAAGTTCTCTCTTGTTATCGGGAGGGGAAATTAACTATAGGGACTTGCACCTATGGGAAACCAAAACTCAGATAATAAAGTCCTCGCAAAATGAGGGCGAAATCTTTGGATAGTGTCTTATCTACAAACCTTTCTGCCTTCCCAAAATTTATCCCGGAACTTAATTCCGTTAAAACTCCCCCGAAGAAGAAAAGTACAGCGAGCAGAGGTCGGGGCCAAATTTTTGGAGCCCACATATATCAATTTGTGCTTTAACCATGTTGATGCTATTTTAGGTTATTCGACAATTCAATCAACTAATTTTGAAAGGTTGCTAATATGCCATCCCTTTCACGATGCTTTGAGTTGCCATGGTAATTAGCCTGCTTTTCAGTAACATGTTAACACAAACTAAAACATTAATACCAATTTAACAAAGAATGACTCAGGGTTAAAAGTTTCTAATGATGCTGATATGATGAATAGTAAATAATTCAGCAACTTGCTTTCTTTAAATACAAAGAGACAATACTTGGCTTAAACTTCCAATTGATAATAAAAGGCTTGAATTAATCCAAAAAACTTAGTGAGGATTCATACCACATAAAATAAGTGAGTATTACTAATGTAACTTTCACCACTTAAATTTCTTGCCAAATTTTGAACAATCAAAAGCACCAACAAGCCAATATCAAACTATGTCGATCAAATAAGAATAAAGAATGAAAATACAAAAATAAAAAAGAGGCTTCATGCTGCCTGGTACAAGAACTTGACTTCATCGGAATTAGGCAGTCAGACTTATACTACTTTCGAAGAAATCACATATCCAATTTGAACTCACTAAGGCTTAAAATCTGGAAAAGAATTTATCAAGCCAAAGTTCCTAATTACATGCCTAAAGTATGATTGGCATAGGATCACCTTAATTCAAATTCTAATTAATCCTGTAACATTATTTATAGACTCCTCATCCCATAGGCTAAAAAATATGATTGGCATAGGATCACCTTAATTTAAATTCTAATTAATCCAAAGGGATGAGAAATAATTAATCTTTTAATTTCAAATCCAAACACATTATCCCATCAACAACACTAAAAACTAAATCCTACTACCATCCACTAGCCTGCACGTCTCAAGAAAGTAATCCAACCACATACTAGAATGCATGCCAAATGAATTGCAAAGCTAAAATGCCATAAAGGAATCTGTTGACCTTCACAGATGAACCCAAAGGAAAACAAAAAGAAAATACCTGTAAACCATCGGATACTCAATACCTTGCCAAAATCCCGCTGAAATCGGCGCCGTTTGAGTTGCATCCTGCGGAAATCCCGCCCGAAATCTTGCTAGAGCCACTGAACTCGCGTCTCTTCCCAGATTTCCTGCGACGTCGCCTCGATCGAACGACCACAGGAGTCGTTAAATAGAAGCCAAGCTCTCGTTCATTTCCATAGAAGCTCTCCAACACCGACTCTTCCTCCTCTCCCTCGCGCTCGATCGCACACGCGATCTCCTCCCCGGTTTCTACAGCAAGATCATGTCTCTCTTTTAGCCAACCTGTATATTCATCCTCCTTCACATGCCAACAAGATCCCATCAAAATCCCATTGATGCATTTGCCAATGAACTCCAATAACGGTTTCTCCTTCACACACCACTAGCATTGCTGAAACCTTTGTTAGCAAGCTCCTATGGTGAGATCTCGTCATCAGTCCTTCCCCAACATGTTTCAAGAACACTTCTTCTCCTTAATGCATTGTGATCCCGCCGATGCATTCACCAAAAAACTCTTATCGCAACTTCTCCTTCACATGCCACTAATCTCACCTATACCTTCAACGGAGAATTCCCTATGTGAGATCTCATCGATATACCATCACGACTTTCTTGTGTCTAGTGAAATCGGAGCAATTTTAGTCAACTACATTAACAAAGTGTTATACGGTATAAATAGCTAGGTTTAGTATCAAAAAAATATTTTGCAAAATTTTGAGTGCTATGTATGTAAGTCTCCCGATAAAAAATCAGTTAATAGCAAAAAATTAAATTGCTCGTAAACCATTTCTTGATGTGATGCCTTTGATGAAAATAAACATGAAGATTTAAATAAACATGAAGATTTTCATCACTAGCCAAAACCCAAAAAGCATTTTTGAATATCAAGGAAAAAACAATAAAATATAGATATGACCAATCCCGAACAATAAATCATAACAAATTGTGTAGCACAACCAAAATAATATCCCCCAAAAACACTTCCGCACATTTATTAAGCAACAAAGGAACCAGTGATAATTCTTGTTCATGAGTAATTTCACTTACATTGAGGTAGGCAAATATCCATAGACAAAAAGAATGAGCATAAACAACATTAGGAGTTTAGCAGCTGATGAGATGAACGTTCTTTCAGAAAGGAAAAACCAGTAATGCAACAGAAACAACACGAGTAAGCACGAAAAAGTCCTCCGGTCATCTCTCCACAATAATATGTCGGCAACTGCACAGAAATCAATGCTAAGTCAGGATATGAAAGATGGGTAACAAATAAAACTAATATGTTGATCAAGCAAAATAAAGGACAGCCAATAGGATGACAATATGTCAAATCAGTGCTTTAAATAAGATATTAATTTTTTCGTCTACCCAAAAAATAACATCAAAATGATGATAATATTAATTTCAGGTGCTGTACAGGAAATTTCCTTTAATTTCTATAGCTTTCAAATTCTCTCAGTCGATATTGCAACTTGTGTGAAAAAACTTTGAAAAAAAAATCCTTCAACTAAATTGCTCATCCCACCACTTCCATTGCCAAGTAGTTTCTCAGCTTTTGATGGTTTGGTCAGATCTTGCTGGTCCACATCAGCAGAGCCATTAGCTAGTTGTGAGAATGATGCTATAGTTAATGTAACGCCATCCTGGATAAGCCAAAAAAAAACAACAACAACAAAGTTTCATGAAATGAGTTTTCTCACAACACAGAAATCCTTTTTATTTCATAACTGTAACAAGGATGAAACCGAGATTACAATCATAGAAATAAGCATCCATAACACAAGAAAGCACATCTAAGATCAAATTATGATTATGAAAAGACTGTATTATGCAAATCAATGGTCTTAAGCAAATATTCCGTCAGATATATCTGAAAATAAACATGGAAAACTTAATGGTTCAATCACAAGAGAAAACACGACAACAAAAATAATTAGTTCAATGTTGCAATCAGATAAAGAAGCAAGAACGTGTGAACCTCTAGTGAAACAACTGGAGAATATCCCATAACTCTTTCAGCATTAGAACAATCAAAGGTCCTTGTGCCTGTAAATGATCGAAATGTGGAAGCAGTAACAAAAGAATTGGAGGTTTTGCATGAAAGCAACTTCTCCTGAAAGAATCTGGCTACCTTAGCAAGAGCCAAGACAATGTTGACTGGAAGATGGATGCTTGGCCTGAGAAAAAAAAATCAACTCAAAGGTGTATGCACAAAATTGTAAAACACATTTCAATTTCATTCATTTCCTTGGATCAAATAATTACATTGCAACTGCACATCACATGTGAACTAATGCTCAATCATTTTCTGTGTATCACATAGTCACATAAATTCTCGTTTAAAACGGCAGCCTTCCGATGATCCGGTTAGGATAGTAGAGGTATTAGATTTGATTTGTGTTAAAAAAGATAGAAGTAGATCTAAAAAGACTTTGTTAGAAAATATTAGAAATGATCTTTCTTTATTAGATTTAAACGAGAATTTGACTTCTAATAAGACACAATGGAGAAAAAGGATTCATGCAGCCGACCCCACATAGTGAGACAAAAGCTTGATGTTGTTATTGTTGTTGTTGTATTATGCATTTAATTTAGCAGCTCAGATTACAGGCCAAGTATAATTTTAGGGAGACTAAATAACAAAGAGCACATATTAAAAAATTGCAGGTATGCTATGTCTTAACATGTCAGTTCTTTCATTTAAGATTGCCAACTTAAATAAAACAGCTTGGCAAGTCTCAGTGCATATCCAACAGCTTCTGTGAAAAACAGCTCTAAATTATAATTTCTCTTGCTATATTATCACCGAGGAGCCTCAAAACCCAAAAATGTCATTCATTAACTACTAGAAACAAAAATGGAAACTATACCACAAACTAATAAACAATTAAACATTAATACTGGAGAAGCATTCAGAATTCGGCTTCTGTGCAAGACTAATTTTTACAATCTGTTAGATCTGCTAACATAGTTGAAAATAATAACTTAATTTATCAGAAAGGCTTAATCAAAATAATCTATCTAGCTTTGATTCTCCTCCGAATACAAATAGGGAATAAATATGTTACAAAACATTTGAGGCAACCTTTTCCTAGAACTGGAAAGAGCAATACTATCAGAAACAAATATAATTGAATTATCTCATTTACACTTAAAGACGACCCCAGTCAGGAAAAAGGCCATGATGATAAAGATCATACTAGGTACACCTGAATATATGCAAATGCAACCATAGCTTGTACTAGAATAATAGTTTGAATAGCTACCATATACCCAGTCAAAAGGAAAAGAAAATAAACTTATAACTGACCTTTGGTATCCGAAGCCTTCCAAGTCAAAAGGAATAAGAAAAATATACTTATAGACTCACCTTTGGTATCCCAAGCCTTCCAACATATTAGATAAGAAATCCCAAAGTTTCATAGGTTCTTTGTTTGTAATGAAAAATGGCTGAACATAGAAGTTGCAAGAAAAAAAAAAACCCTTCAGTTTAACGATCAATAGAATTTAAAAAAAAAAAATAAGGAGCTAGGAAGAATCTGAGTGATACCTTTCCAGCAACATAAGGAGTTCTCAAACGTAAAGCCTGCTCTGCGCAGATACCAGCATGGGCCACATTCTCAATATATGTGAAATCCCATAAATTTTGACCATTTCCAATTATGAACTAAAATTAAAATATTTGATTAGTTGAAAAAATAGTAACTTCAACTGAAAAGAATATAGAACACATTTACAGAAAAAGAAGAAAAAACCTGTGCAACCGGGATTCTAAGAGTAAGCTTATTCGAAGATAACTCAATATCAACTTGATATAAAAATGATGAAAAAGATAAATTTTAAGTTTATAAACAAGAAAAGGAATAACCAAGAAAGAGAAACATAAACCATGGCAGAGAAATTCGATATAAATTGGCTAACGGCGCTAATTCAATGAAATCTATACAAAAAGATGAATTTCAATGTGGTATAAGAATGTTGAGTCAAATGTATGAAACTCCCACTAACACAGTTATAGGAAGGGGGGATAAATAAGGGACCAAATGTAGGTTTTGTTATAACTAGATAACTTTAACACAAGATTGATAAGTATATGTTAAGGGGAATGCAGCAAATTTGTACAACATGTTGCACAAAATATGTTTTTCCAACCAATTTTTACAGCTTTTTACAAAGCCAACAATTCGGACCCTAAAACGTTCTTTACCAACCACAAGTTTAATTAGTCAAATTCAAGGTAAACAAAAATTCACAATGCTAAAGAAAATATTCAATTAGTTTGATGATTTATATAAAGCTCACGTAAGACTAATAATTAAAAAGAAAATAAAACAGCGAAAACGTTCACTTGCATACCTTGGCCCATCCTTCCTTGGCTCCACGTACAAGAAACGGCACCAGAGTGTCATCACCTGGTCCAAATGGATTGCTTACCCTTAACGCACAAGTAGAGAGTCCATCTTTTCTGTTCGCCCTCAAAACCATCGCCTCCGCCTGTGCCCTCAACTCACTCAAACTATCCACGAACTGCAAGAACATCAAAACGATTATCGATTACAATAGAAAAAATCCCCCAAGTCCAAGACCAAATTTAAACATGGTCCAGAATTTAATTAAAAAAAAAAATCTAACCCTCTCTGGGTATACCGCCGACTCATCCCAGCAGCAAACCTCCTTCGCTCCGCCAACCACCACGTCAGCGGAGCTGATGTACACGAACCGCTGTACCCCGCATTCCAAGCATGCAGAGATCACGTTTCTGGTACTTTGGACCAGGAGAAGGTGCAGTCCATGGAAATCAGAGGAACGCGCTGGCGGCGGCTGAAGGGTTGTCACAGTGGGGTCAACGTGGAAAACAGTGTTGGCGCCAGTGAAGACTGTGAGGAGCGAAGGAGATTGGCGTCGAAGATCCACATGGTGGTAGGACACACGACCAGATTGGAAGAAGGGCGACAATGAAGGGGTTGGATCCGGAGCCGGGAGGGGGTCGATGACGCGGACTGTGAAGCGACCATCACCGAGGAGGGCGGCAACGATAGATCTTCCAATGAAGGAGCTTCGGCCGAAGGTTACCGCGACGATCATTGAAGCATCGCCAACTTTCGCCATGGGAAACGGTTGAGAGGAAAGGGCGACAGTGAAGGTGTTGGAGGTGACGCTGAATTATCAAGCGGATCGAAAGGCGTGACGGTTTAATAGAGATTCTTACTTTTTTTTATAATTATAATCATAAATCATACCAAATATGAAATAGATATAAAGTTTATATATGATTAACCATATTTATTCTTATTCATCCTTCTATCACTCTAATTTTTAGAATGAAATAAATTAATTTTGGATATTATAATTAAAATTGTATTGTGATAAATTAAAAGTTTTTTTAATTCATTTTAAGATCAATGCATATAAGATAGGTTGAATATTTTGGTACATTGAATATGAATATTTTTATGTTTATGTAAATTTTATGTGAAAAGGCTCATTGATTGATCTACTCTCTAATGAAATTTGGTTTCTAATCTCCTAGGGCTTTGGTGGTTCATCGATTATCTTTTATACTTTTACTCCTTTTTTCCAACATAATTCTCATATCCTCCACATAACATAAATCCTAACTTATGTCAATCTTGAAAAATATATTAACTCTTAAAAACTCTCTCAAATATTTCCTAACATTCCTCATAATCTCTCAAGGCCTCAACTCCCAACTACTTAATAATCCTAAGATACTCTAGCCAAAAGTCCAATATAGAAAAATATTTTCCTACTTTGAGCAATTAGATTCAACATAGCACAATTCATTAACCACTAATTTGAAATCCATAAAAATACCCACATTAGTTCTCTAATGTCCCAAAATTTTTATCTAGAGTTCCTCACATTTTCCATTTATGAAAAACTTGCCCTTTTATAACATAAAATCTTTAATTCCAAACATATTCAAACCATGAATTACTTTTTCATAATTCATAAGTGTAAATAATGTGTTATTTTATGTGTTGTATTTTCAGTAAAAATGTATTATTTTAGTTAAATTGTGCGGAGAAAATACATAAAAGGCATATAATTCTAAATTTCATATAGTGTCGTAGCGTTGGAACAAACAACACTACAAACACCATCAAATACATCGTCGGAGTGCTAAAATATCAACATTGTAGAGCCAATTTCTCTGTCGGCTAGCACCTCGGCATCAAAAGTTTGGCGTCGCAGCATCACACTCTATAACGCATCGGTGTCCAAATTGCTCTTATGGTGTCGCAGTGTTCGAAAGCCAGCATCGCCACGACATAGTAGTTGTAACTTCCCAAGGACACGATCTATGAGCAAAATAATGTGATTATTCACTAAGTAACTGATCCACATCAACAAGCATCGCATTGCAACATCATAGTGGTGTCAGTCCAATTATTAGGCGTAGTGGCGCCAATCTTTCAAGAAGCACATTGCCATTTGCCTAATTTGTGTTTTTTTATAAATAGCCACTATGTTATATTTGTAAGGGAGTTCAGTCACTTAGTTAATTTCATTACATTTCAGAGTGCTTCTCTGAATTTTTCTTAGTGTGACAACTAAGGGGATTTTGGGAAGTACTTGATACCATCATTAGAGTGTTTGGCATGTGTTTGTGATAGCAATTCTATAAGTAAAAAATAAGAAGTGTAGAGGAGATCCATTGAACCATTATGGTTATATCTATCTCTTGATTTTCTGCATGTCTAGCTAAATTCTTCAGTTTTGAATTGATAATGTAAATATCATATGTAGTACTAATAAAGTTTTCTTATTTCATAAATGATTAAAATGATGTTGTCAAAATTATTAGATTTTAATTTAATGCATATGTGTTGTTAAAATTAGGTGTAATATGGAGCCTCGATGGAGGTAAGCAGGCATAACCAGGAATATTGAATTTGTATGTGTCATACCTAGGCATAGTGTATGAAATGTATTAAATTCTTGAGGAGATAATATAATCGTAGAAAATGGATGGGCATCTTTTATTCCTATAAGCACGACAGAGATCTAAGAATGCATATGCTTTGAATAACATCACAATTAAAAGAGATTCATTAGGAAAAATATGTTATTTATATTCATCAATCCAAAACATTATATCCATATAGTGTATTCATTATCATTATCTTTATCTAATTTATTTAAGTGATTAAATCTCTATAATATCAATTTTTATTAAGTAGGATAATTATTGCAATTAAAGTAAATAGTGGCAGTTGAATGCTAAAAGACTTACTTTATCATGGGTTCAACACTCTACTGTATCACTTTATTACTTGATTTAGCACATATACTTGTGTATATTAAGTGAGGTTTACTAATTTATATAAAAAAAACCTTAGTATTATTTAGGGAAGATAGAGCCTTAGACATCCATTATTATAATTCAAATTTATACTTACCCACAGCCCCATCAAGGTTTTGGCACTATTGTAGGCGAAGTTTTTTACATTTTGTAAAATTTTAAATATATTGTTAAATTGATTGCATAGTTAGATTTACTTATTTTAGTATTATTTAGTTACTTTGATTACAAGTTTTATATTCTACATTTTTTTGTATGCTTTATTCCCAAAGCAAAAACTTTTGCCACTTGATCTTGAAATTGAGAGAACCCTTTCTAAAATTCAAAAAACTAAAAAGATCTTGAAAAATGGCTGAACTAGAGTTAGTACAAAATCATTCTATACCTCTGAAGGATTATGCAATCCCTTTAGTAGACATAATTCATCGGAACATAAATGTACCAATAATCCAAGCAAATAATTTTAAATTAAAACTAGTTATCATTCAAATGGTGCAAAACTCTCAATTTGGGAGAACTCCTATAAATTATCCCAATTTATATTTAGCTAGTTTCTTAGAAATTTATGCAACATTTAAGTACAATGGTATCAATGATAATGCTATTAAACATAGATTATTTTCCTTTTTTCTATGAGATAAAGTTAAAATGTGATTAAATTTCTTATCCTTAGGTTCTATAACCGCTTAGAATGAATTAGCCCAAAATTTTCTTACTAAATATTTCTCACCTTAAAAAACTGTCAAAATTAGAAATGACACAACTTATTTTGCTTAGTTTGTAGGAGAATTCATTTATGAGAGATGGAAAAGATTTAAGGAAATGCTTCAAAAATGCCTGCATCATGAATTATCTGATTGGTTGATTATTCAAATATTTTATAATATATTAATAGGATCTATTAGAGCTATAACTGAGGTTGGGGATAGAGGATCATTTTTTATAACTTGAACATCATAGTTTATGGTTTAGATGATAATAAACATAATTGATTGCATCCTTGTGTCTCATAGCATTTATATTATATATTTATTTTTATGTGTACTAATATTTTAGGTACATCATGCATCATTCAATGAATATTCAAGGCTCAAGATTAGGTAGAATATGATATGCTGAAAGTGTATGTAAAATTTATTTATGTATTTTTTTAATTTCTTGAGTCAAATCATGTAAAGGTGTATGTAAGCCTGGTGATTGTGCACATACACACTCATGAAAATTAAATAGAGAGAAAAATTAGAAGAGTAATTCGTTGAACTTATCATACTATACGATATGTATCATAGTATGCAACCAGCTTATCAGCTAATTATGTAATTAAATCTATTTGAACTAATCGTACTAATGATCTTAATCATATAGGACAATCAGTTAAAATCTTGAATTTACCCATCAATCATAATTTAGATAATATTTTTAAATACAAATTATGTACTAATTATACTATATGATAAATATCATAATGTAGATATGATCAAATCTTGCATAAATTAATCATGTAATTAGGGGTCAAATTTAGATTAATTTGTTTAGTAAGATCGTACAGTATGATTGGATAAATTATATTGTAAGACCATATCTTTACATGGGATGATAATTTATTTTAGCCAATTATATGGGACGATAATCTAATTTGATTGTACTAATCGTACTAGACAATCAGCTCAAATACTTGAACTAATCATATAGCTTCTAACTCTTCATACATTACTAATAAGGATATATTATACTAATCATAATGTACGACCAAGGATCATATTTTATGATTAGAGATGATAGAATTAATTTTTTAAGGGGTTTCTAGGCCCTCTATTTAAGCTTTCTCATAAGACTTTATAAGATTTTTTTTTATCATTCATTGAGTTATTTCTTCTAAAAGTTTCAAGAGAGAGTCTTGAGCTAGGAAGAGAAAGGGCGAAGTTTGTGAGAGATGGAGAAGATCCTTGTGGGTTTCAAGGGAGTATGAGAGGGAGTTTCACACTATTGCTCTAGTGAGCTTGCACCTGAGTTCCTCCATGTATCAAGGTTTGTCTTAAGGAAAGCTTTTGGAAGAAGACATCTTTGATGTCAAAGGACCCAACTAATCCATCATATTGGAAAGGTGAAAGTGATTTCAGGTTCTCTGCCTCACTTGGAGGGTGAAAATGATTCAAGTTCTATACCTCCCCTGAAGGGTGAAAAGGATTCCAGATTTGCTACCTCACAAAGAACGTGAAAAGGATTACGGTCCTTTGCTGCATTAGGTTGGTAGAAGAGATTTTATAAAGGCTTCTCCGCTTAGTTGTGAGAGTTGAATGAGAGACACTATACTGATAGTGTGATACTCAAAGAGAATAACTCCGGGGAGTGGATGTATGTCATAGTTTGACCAAATCACTATAAATTTTGGTATGTTTGTTCTGATTTTCTGTTTTCACTTTTTTATTTTTTTACACATTATTTCTATAATAACTACTTGGTGAAAATCTATGATTGATATTTTATTGTGATGATTAAAATATAATTCTCATTATTAAAATTATTTATAAGGTAATTAACTTCTACATCAAACTAAATGTATTACTTTTGTATTAGTGTGCTTAGGCACAAGTTCACTTATGCTTAACATATTTATCAAACTTTTAATTAGTATTAGAGCAATTCTTAAAATAATGTTTTAGAAAACCTAAAGGAAAATTATCAATGGCACATTTCAGAAATAAGAATAATATAGAAGGTTATTCCATCACACGTCTACCTTTATTTGATAATATTCCATTTGATTTTTTGTAAAATTCTTGTCTACTTTTCTGCAATCAATTGATTTTCAAATATTGCATATGATTCAAACTGGTTATTATGTACAGTCACGTATTATTAAAGCAGTCAATATAGACATTCCTTTTACCGAATGGAGTAGAGAAGAACAAATATATGCACAACTGAATGCTAAATGCTTAAATTTTTTTTTTGTGCACTTAAGTCTTAACTCTATATGAGAGTTTCTACATGTATAACTGCCAAAGACATTTGAGGTAGACTATACATTACATAAGAAGACACCAATGAAATAAAATAATCTAGGTTAAATATATTATTACATAATTATAAATTTTTTTGCATGAAACCTTATGGGACTATTTCAGAGATGTACACTAGATTTACTCAGATGGTGACATCATTGCATGCTTTTGGTAGAGAACTTTCAAACTCAGAGAAGGTTAACAAAATTCTACATTATCTACCTAATAAATTTGATGACAAAGTCATTACTATATGTGAATCGAAAGACTTGAATACTTATTCTATTAATAATCTAGTCGACTAACTCATTACATACGAGTAAAGTGTGAGTCAAAGACTCTTGGATGTTGGTGATGAGAAGGCTATAGTGCTAAAGGAAAAGACACAGTAAAAATGACTTAGGAGATGATGAGAGTGAGGAGCTAGCATTAACAACAAGAAAATTAAAAAATCTCTTGAAGCACAAGCATAAGCATAAATAAAAAAAGAGCAAAGATAAAAATGATAAATATAATAAGTTTGGTTTTAATATTATCTATTTTGGGTGTAGAAAACCTGGATATCTAAAATATAGATGTCTCAATTTTAAGAAATACCCTGTGAAGGAAAAGGGTGAGGATAAGCCAATTATAATAAGGAGAAATGGAAAGAAGCAAAAAATCTCCTGGGCAAGATGATGAGGCAACAAACTTACGTTGAATTTGTCAATGATTCAATTAGTAATTTTGATCATGTATGAAGTTTGCTTATCTGGTTGTGTGTTTGTTTCTTTGTTTGTGTATTTGTTTATGTATTTGTTTAATTATTTTGTGTGTTTTTTTATCTGATTTATGGTTTATGAATTATCTTTATATATGATTGTATGTTCAATTTCCTTCTGTATGTAATTCAATTTTAGGTGTTGTGTTTTCTCTATTTTTTGGTGATGTTAGAAGGGGGAGAAGGTATTTGATTGTATTGATTGCATTTATTATTTAGTTTCAATTTTTTCTTAAAAATTAAAAATAATAACAGTGAATAAACTTTAAAATTAAAAAATAAATATTTTTCCCTATTTTTAATATAATTCTATTAATGAGGGGGAGATTAGGAGAAAATAATATTATTTACAAATTCAATAAATAATATTTGTCATCACCAAAAAGAGAGATTGTTGCAACTCAGACTTTCAAATTTATAGTTTTGATGATAACAAACATTATTGATTATATCCTTATATTTCTTTGTATTTGTAATGTATATTTTTTATGTGTACTGATATTTCAGGTATGTCATGCACCATTTAATAAAGATTCAATGCTCAAGATTGAGTAGAATAAGATATACTGAAAGAGTATGTAAAATTTGTTTATGTATTTTTCCAATTCACTGAGTCAAGTCCTATAAAGATGTATGCAATCATGGTGACTGTGTACATACACACTCATGGGAATATAATAGAGAGAACAATTGGAAGAGTAATTTGCTGAACTAATCGTACAATACGATAGGTATCATATTGTACGATTACCTTATTAGCTAATCATTAAAATGACTAATTGTGTAACTAAAAAAATTTGAACTATTCGTATTAGACGATCTCGATTGTGTAGGATGATTAGTTGAAATTATGAACGTATTCGTCAATCATAATTTAGAAAATATTTTTAAATAGAAAGTATGTACTAATCGTAATGTACGATAGGTATTGAACTGTATGTTGTAAACAAATCTTGCCTAAAATAATCCTATAATTAGGGATTAAATTTAGATTAATTGATTTAGTAAGACCGTATTGTACAATTGGATAAATCGTATTGTACTACCATATCCTTACATGGGATGATAAATATTATTGCCAATCGTACGGGACGATAATCTAATTTTATTGTACTAATTGTACTAAACAATGATCATATCATATTGGATGACCAGCTAAAACACTTGAACTAATCATACAACTTCTTAATCTTCGTATAATACTAACAATGATATATTATACTAATCATATTGTACGATCAAGGATTGTATTATACGATCATAGATGAAATAATTGAATTTTTATGATTTTGCTAAGCCCTCTATTTAAGCTTTCTCATAAGACTTTGTAAGAATCTTTTTGCCATTTATTGAGTTGTTTCTTCTGAAAACTTGAAGATAATGCCTTGAGGTAGGGAGAGAAAGGGTGAAGTTTGTGAGAGAGGGAGAAGATCCTTGTGGGATTTAAGGGAGTGTGAGACGGAGTCCCACATGGTTGCTCCGATAAACTTGTACCTAAGTTCCTCCTTGCATCAAGGTTTATCTTGAGGGAAGCTTTTGGAAGAAGACCTTATTGGTGTCAAAGGACCCGCCACTCCACTGCACCGAGGAAGGTGAAAGTGATTCCAAGCTCACTGCCTCACCTAGAGAATGAAAATGATTTCAGGTTCTCTACCTTACCTAGAATAAGTATATATTAACTAGGAGTAATGTTCTACTATATCAGTTAGAAGGTGCCTTAGTATTCTAAAGGATTGATTTGAGGTTTGGTTATCATTAGTTGATGGTGAAAGATGAAGATGTAATAAAGATAGCTTTTAGCACCCAAAATAGGTAGTATGAATTTTTTTGTTATGCCTTTTAACGTAACCAATGCACTTGTAGTGTTCATGGATCTAATGAACAAAGTGTTAAAAAATTCTTCAAATCAACTCATTATTAAGTTCATTGATGGTATTTGGTGTATTTGAGAAATGAAGAAGATCATTTTAAGCATTTAAGGCTAACTCTAGAGGCTTTAAGTTTTGGTTAAAGTTTGTGGCATTTTTTAGACATGTTATAAGCAAGGAAGGAATATTTATAGATCCCTAGAAAATGCAAGCTACTA